CGCGAGCCCGCCGCGCCGCCCGGCCGCCGGAGCCCGAATCCATCACCGCTCGTTAGAGGATGTCACTGTCGTCACGAGCGAAAAAGCTCTGAACTCCCGTAGATGAAAAACCTTTCTTTTATTTTGCAAGACGTCGAGCCCGTCTCTTTCCCGGTGAAGTCCGAGAGCTGCTAGATGAGCTCGCGCGGATCTGTGATTTCTGCCGCTTGGGGTTTGCGACGCAGCACGAATTTTAAACCCCAGTCATTTGAAATAGCTTCGGGCAAAGGATCCCCGCTGTAATCACTCACCCTGCGGAATTCTGCATTGTCTAGTTTTCTGCAGGAAAAGTCACCTCGGAAGCTTTCGGAATGCTTCTGGGGGAACTCTTCCACTTTGAATGACCAAGTATCTCAAAGTCAAAATGTTATCAAAACAAACCATCTTTTCTATCTTGTAACCCAATACAAACCTTTTTTTTTTTCCTCCTCCCGGATCGCGACAGCTCAAGCAAGTTTACAATTCCAAGAGGACTTTTCCTTATCATTGTATATATTCCACAGTTAAGCTGTAAGGAGCGGGTTGCTTTAAAATAACAAACGAATTAAGTGTGAAATATTTACAACAAGCCTCCTGCCCCTATTTTAATGGAGGTTGAAAATCTGGCAAGGCACTGGCTCTTAGTAGCTCATTTTCTAAATACTTTGTACACAGTACATATTTTATTCAATGTTGCAAGCTACTTTTGACTTACTTGCAGTGTTAAACCAAAAATAAAGGCTAAGGCGATAGAGACAATCAGTTAAATCGTTTCAGTCATTTAGAAAGACACAATCAATTAATTTTTATTTTTAATACAATAAATGTTTGGCTTTCTGGATGCATTTTCAGACTGCTGTATCTTTAGATTTGGGGAATTCTTATATGCATACATAAAGTTATTTGAATGGACAGGATTTAAAAATTTTTTTTTTAAATGATCCTGTAATGTGCTGACTGCTGGATAGAATTCAATCATAATATTTTAAATTGTCGGGAATCTAAAGTAAGAAGAAAAATAGGTGATTTTTTTATACTTTATCAGCTTTTAAATGAACACCACACCACTAGGACTAAATTTAATGTGAAAGAAGTAAGATGCACACAGGCAGCGGTCCGCTAAATTTTGGAAAGTTTCTTTCTCCTGAGATGTCCTTAGTTTCAGAGCTGCTTCCCCTCCCCCATCCCTAATTACCGCAGTTCCCCGTTTAACTCTGCCCACGGAGACAGAACCGTATTGTTAATCAGTCATGGCTCGTCTTTATATTTAGTTTTACCTCACATCTCCTTTTGCGCAAAAGTTATTCGGCATGGCATTTCAGTTATATAGGTATTAAAGTTCAATATATTGGTGCAATGATTAGAGCAGTTGTAAAAATATGTTATGAGTGATCATTTAAATACAGACAAAAGCAAAAAAAATGACAGTTCTTTGGAAATTATTGTTCTGGCTGGGTTGACTTTACTATTTTTTTTTTTTAATGCCTCCCATTTTATTATGTGCATTCATTGCATTTGTGTGTTTGCATGTGTGTGTGTGTGTGTGTGTGTGTGGCACCACATGATACATTTTTGTTTTATATCATACCCCAAGCATGCAGTCAAATCTGGAGGAAATCACTGAAATGAAAACATCCCTAAACAGAATGCCAGATGATATTCTTTGTAATCTTTTAATAGGTGTTTTAATTATGTGCTTTACTAGAGGCAAAAATAAAACTTTCTGTCTTAAAACATATTCCATTAGTTAAGAATAATTATGACACATTGAAAAAGAACTGCAAATGAGTTTTTTAAGCTGAAGAAGTCTACTTAAGTTTTCTATAAGAAACACTTTCAGAAACTAATATAAATATCATTTAAAAATTTTAGATCACTTTTTGAAAAAAAATTTAAAATGCAGACATGAATATACAGTTGAAATATTCAAAATATAGTAGAAACAATACCATATCAGAAATCTGTAGCTTTTGTGTGGAGGAGAAAGATAACTTTTGGAAAGAGTTTGGATTTTGGTTTATAGAGATTTAAAACTGAAATATCTTTCTTAGGTCATGTAAGTAGCTTAATTTTTTGCTGTGAATAAATATATGACTTACATTAAATTTGGTTCAGTTTTCAAAAATTATGCTTACGTAAGTTTTTTAGATCTTTTAATTTGGCTACCTTAATTTGATTATAAAATTATGCACATAAACATTGCATTAGCCCTATAGAACTGTGAATTTTGGCAAAATTATATTAGTTCCATGCACACATTTTTAAATGGCTTTAGACCTGCCCAGAGTACATAATGTGATGATTGAATTAATGCTGGCACAATAAATCATTAGCAGACCGCTTTCCTCATGCCCTACATTAATTCAGCTTAATTCTTTCATTGAAATGCTTCACAATGCTGAGAACTGTTGTTTTCCCCCTTGGTTACAGTGAACTATGGGATCACTAAAGTAGAAGGACAGCCACTTCACACCGAACTAAACAGAGCTATGGACAACTGTAACAGTCTCCGGATGTCTCCCGTGAAGGGGATGCCAGAGAAAGGAGAACTGGATGAACTTGGGGATAAATGTGACAGCAATGTATCCAGCAGTAAGAAGCGGAGACACCGAACCACCTTCACCAGCTTGCAGCTGGAGGAGCTGGAGAAGGTCTTTCAGAAAACTCATTACCCAGATGTATACGTCAGAGAACAGCTTGCTCTGAGGACAGAGCTCACTGAGGCCAGGGTCCAGGTAGGAGCCATAGGAAGGCCTTGGGTGGGTGAGGGTGGGAGTGGGAGAATAGTGTCAGAATAACTCAGTAGTTGCATTTTGCCACAAAGGGACTATTTGAAGACATTGAACAATGTCACGTATGCATGTAGGTCTACTAAAATTTCTTTTTACTTGAAAAGAATTTAACAACTCACATGAAAACATAAAACAAAAAAAGAATACTTGAGTTATTGTATAGGCATAAACCCATTGGTTATTTAAAAAGAACAGAATGTCTTAACATATCTCTGATTTCAAAAAATAATTTTAAAGGGGAAAAAAACAACCATAGTTATTCATTTAGTAATTCATATATTTTATTTTTCTATCTTATCAGCTATTGAGGTGTGGGTTTTTTTGAGGTTGTATCTGGGTATTAATAAGTTATTTGTCTAATGGCCTGCAAATCTATAATTTTATTGAAGTTGAGATAATAATAAAACAAAGAAAAAAGAAACAATCTCACAAATTCCCAACTGTTATGTATACCAAATCTATTTTTACTATACATAATTGAAGAAAGATCATATAACTCATTTACAATTTCTAACCTTAGTAGTTGCCAGTGGTGTCATTTCATTTTAATATTTCAAACCTAGATAACTTAAATGGATTTTGCAGAGGTGATAAGAATAATGATCCTAAAGTAATTAAAAATATGTACTCAATTATAAGTTGTATTCAAATTATCAAGTTGGATGATTTAATATACTAAATATTTAATCATTTGGAAAGGAAAAATTATGCTGGATAAAATTCTGCCTCTTAGGCATATTTAATTTTTATTAGAGTTGATATTCTTACATTACATTTTATTAGGTTCCAAATAACAGTAATTCAGGAGAATGACCTTTTTCTTTGGCATGTTTTTATTACTCTAAATAGGAAACTATTGAATTTTGCAGTTCCCATAAACTACTAATATAGAGAAATGAATGAAAGTGAAAATTTTTGTTCTTAGCGGAATAATAGTATTTCTTCTGAAGATTAAGCCATTGGAAGGCCTTTACATCATTAAACACAACATCTGGTAGTGCAGAAATAATAAGCAGCAGGTTTTTTTCTTTAGTTGTGGAGGCAAATGGTTACTTTATCTTGGTTCAGGAAGTAACTATATAGAAAGTTGATGCTAATGAAAAATTTTAGAATTGTCAAGTGTTAACACGCCCCCCGAAAGTGTTCTTTTTTGTCTTGTGTTCATATGTTTAAATTAGTTATACTTGTAGGCATAGAAAAAATGTGTTTGCATACAGAGTTATCAGCTGTGCACAATGCATGCTTTCCCCTTAGCATTTCATCAAGTCCTGATTTTTGTCTAAAAACGCGCACAGAGAGCCAACCTGAACCTAATTTACTCAGGTTGTTTTCGTTCCTGCTTTTCGCATCAGAGTGGTAATTGGCATCCATTTTAAAGAGAGTGTCAAGGTCTTTTTCTTAGTGAAAAAAAACACCTTACTGCTAAATTCCCTTAGTGTGCTCTTGGTGCCTGTCTGTAGAGACAGCAAGGAATTATGTTTGGTTTGGTTTGGTTGTTTTTGTTGTCTTGAGCCTGGGCATAATGGGCAATACACATTTGCCAGCAGTGTTCTAAGAAACCACACCAGACAGGTAGCTCTCTTTGCCCTTGCTCTAATTGCTGAAAACTCTTCGAAGTCCCTTCTTAAATTTGCAATATATGCTTACATATTAAACTGAGAATGCATATGTTTCCATGTGATTATAATTGAATTTGAAAAAGAGTAAACACTTTGAGTAATTTTTAATAAAAGGCTTTTTACAATTCCTACTTTTATATTTGATTCCCAGGTTCTTTCCTAAATATTTTACATTCTGAACATAGTTCTGTAAAGACTAAAGAGCTTCCTGGAAGCTGCTTGTGTAATGTCTACTTAACAATATCAATTTATACATATTGAAGATAACTTTCTCTATCTCCCTTTAATACATGAAAATATGAAAATGAAAATTCTAGAGAGCTATAAGTATGAATTAGTGAATATTTAACCCTGTGTGGAAGATGGTTGCTGTGATAAGTATTATTATGATGTAAGTAGAGAAATTAGAATGAGAGCTTAGTGACCCTGTAGATGCCCCACTAACTCACAGGTTTTCTTCACACTTAGTTATGTCTGCTCCATTCCTTTTATTATTTATATTACCTGTAAGTCTTTATATTGGAGAAATGATTTTGGTGATTGCTGAGCATTTTCTATAAGGGAAGATAAATATTATCAGTGGCATAATTTATGTAATAAGCACATTCGTATAGTTTAAAATCATAATTGAACTTCAGGTGATTCCATTTTACCTTTTGTCTTTATTGTACTCAGTATTATACGTAATCTTAATATTTTGTTTCTAAATAATCATGATATTTCTTCTGATGCCATATGTTTTTAGATGTAGTCTTTATGCTTAAAATTTTCTAAAAGTAAGTATGGGTACAACCAAGAAAAGTCTTCACATTGTGAAATGCTTTAAAGATCGTTGATTTGACAGACCCAGATATATTCGTTTGGTTATAAGGTGGCTGGGTTAATGTTATGTGCATAACCCCAAATTAAAAACTCATGAATATCTTTCAGACTTGCAGCATCCTCTGAGAGGGGGATTATCTCTGGTAATTTGGAGATATACAAAGTCTTCAAGATCATATAATCTGATTCCTTTCTATTTTCCATAAATGAAAAAACAGAGGCTCAGACATATTAAATAAATGTTTTGAAAGTAACTTGTCTCTATAGTAATTTATACTGCCTCCTGGGCATACCATTTATATCAAGGCAAAATAGAAAGTAAAATTTATGGATCTTTTTTGGATAAAGGAATTTCTTTTATTAGTAATTTTATTGACCTGATTTACCTTTCTGATTTGAAGTCTCTTAACATCACATTTGTATTATCGAGTATTCTTTAGCTAAAATTCTACTTCTTTAAAAAATTAGGTTTGGTTTCAAAATCGAAGGGCCAAGTGGAGGAAAAGAGAACGTTATGGCCAAATACAACAAGCTAAAAGCCACTTTGCTGCCACCTATGATATATCAGTTCTGCCAAGAACTGACAGCTACCCTCAGGTATGGTAAACTGTGTGAAATACTGACCAAGAAAAATAGATGTGGTATGCATATTCTTAAAAGGGCTAGAATAGGCTTTATTATATCTAATATAAATGTTAGGAATGCAATTTTTTATTATTTTACTAAAATATTTATTTCATTATTATTTTTCCCCCAGAACCATTCATTTAAACATATTTCAGGGCTTCTTCCTTGTTATACGTTGCAACAACTGCCGTAGCATCACTCCGTGGTATATGTCTGTTAATTACTCTACATTTTAATTATTCAGAATTACTTTCCTTGTTAACTTTTAAAAATATATTAAATATTACTTGGCATGCTATCTCTGTGGCTAATGTTTTATGAATCAACCATACATAACCTAGTGTCAAATGTGGTATAGGAAACCTTCATTCCACTTAAAAATAATGTATTTTCCTATATTGTCTTTTCAGCTTTGAAGTTGCTCATTCTTTGAAGGAAACATTTAGCCCTTTGTTTTTAAAAATGTATTCTAACCAGAATTAGTACTGAATATAATTTTAAAAATATATCACGTTAAAAAACACTTCCCTTAATAATGAGAGCTCTGATTTTAAAGACTAGAAATTATTTTTCTTCTAATTTTTTCTTTTAATTTAGAGAGGTTTTTTTCATACTTTGCAATATATGTAAATAAAAATTTTTTGTCTTTCTAAATGAGTATTACTTTCTCCTAATACTGAATTATTCAGAGCTGTATTTGGTATATGATTAGGGACAAGCCATCTGTTATTTAATTCCTTTTCGTTTAATGATATGCATTGTAAGAGACCACTTTGATAACAAATATGTGGCATATATGTTGGTGAAATACCTTGACAGTCCAGGAACAAAATTGTCATAGCCCCAAACTTAAGGAATTCGTTTTCTTCAGCTCCAAATTCATACTGTTAGTGTGGATTCAGTCCTTTATTTTTCTACTATCCTTGTGTTCTGATACCTTTTTTGACTCTTAAAAACCTATCTTGAGACCTTCGCTTCTCTAGTTAAATTCACCAGCTTTATTCATGTAATATTATTATATGTGAACAAGAGCCTTAGAGATCCCTTTGTTCTACTTTATTTTACAAGTCAGGAAACCAGACCCAGGTAAGTTAAGGAATTGGTCTGTGATCACACAGGTGGTTCCTTACAGGACAGTCTGCAGGGGGAGGCTACGGCTCAGCCATGCCACTGCAGTTGGCTAGGGCAACCTCTGAATAAATGCCACACCTGCCATAAGAATTTTGTTTCTCTTTTAAAAATGTATCTTGAAGTAGTTCCCTTGTTTTTTTTCCCCCTCCTGTGTAAAAACATGTATACACTCCTGGCTACTTATTATCAGAGGGCTAATGGAATTTTAAACACCCAATATTTTGGGGTGTCCTCGTTGAGTTCCAAGCAGAGTGCTGTGAGGCTGTTCCGCTTGAGGCTATCAGCTCCACGAGCACAGGCACTGCAGTGCTTTCCCAGTTGGTAACACAACTGTGGCCCAGACTGTCTCAGGCACTGTTGTTAGCAGGTTGTATATATTAACTCATTTAATCCTCACAGCAACCTTATGTGGTACTTGTCACTAATTATCCCCATGTTTCATATGAGGAAACTGAGGCACGGGGGAGGGGGTATCTACTCACTTTCACTAGTGGTGAAGCCCAGAGTTGACCAGAGGGTTCTAGCTCCCAAGTGCAAGATCTTAAGCCTCAATATAGACTGTCTCGGCAAAAATGTTTAAATGATTGAATGATTAACAAATTAATACCGAAGCAACATATGGCTTAAGTTGCATTATTCGAGTCTGCACTTTAGTTCGGGGAGCAGAAAATGTACTCACAACCACTAAAATAACAATAAAAAATAACAGACATAGCATATACTTTATATAATTTTGAATGAGTGATATGATGACTTTAGAAATATTGTCACATATTATGAACTCTTTCCAAATGGACTTTAAACATTCTGATAAGTTTATGCCACAACAGTTGACTATATATTTTTTGCGCCTTATTATTTCAATCATTCCTTTTCTTGTAAACCCCATTTCTGCCTAATTTTTACTTTGTTCCTTGCTGTTGGTTGCATTCTCTCTAACTCCCTTTTCTTCTTCAGTATAGCATAAAGTATTAATAATAGTGCCTGGCACCAATTAACTTCTTTATAATGGCTTAATATAACTTAATATACTCTTGACTAGTTGCCCTTTTTCCTAGGATTATCTTGTCACTATGTTATTGTGCTGCTTAGCATTAGATATTATCAGTTAGCAGAATGAGGTGACCTAGCAGCTCAAGCAGGAAAGAAAATGGTACAAATGAAACATTTGACAGTCTTTTTCACTCTAGCAAAGGACTAATTTAAAATTTTCCCTCACAAACCATGGGAATTTCGCACTAATTCTGCCTGTGGCTTCTCTGTAATGTATGTACATTGGTTATACATTATAATTTAAGTATGGAAGCATGGAGATCATATGTTGAAGTTATTTTGACAGTGCAATTTGTCAACAATAACAAAAATCAATACTGTAACATCCATGGTGCTTTCTACACTGGTAAGTCATGTAATGATTGGTTGCCAGAAATTCTGCAATCAAATGTCTTCCACTCCCCACTGTAGGTATTGGAGAAAGCCAGGGGGAAATTTTGTTTTAACTTAAAAATATGTGGTTTACTTTTTTAGTTTGTTTGAAAAAAGAATTATGACAGTATCATGTCTCCAAGCTCCAGCCTAAAGGAAACTTTCTTTTTTTTTTTTTTTTTTTTCATGTGGCTTGAAAACAGAAATGTAAATGGGGAAAATAGAAACCAAAATAGAATCCAACAGCTTAGTCCAATAAAACTTTGAATTTGGTTACTGTTACTAATTATAGAAAAAGTTATTAATTACAAAAACAGTTGGGAACTAGAAAATGTTGGAGGCAGGACAGAAACAAAGAATTAGCAATTTGGCAGGAAAGCAAGCGTACACAGAGATACACGAAAAACAGAGATGGTTCAGAAAATGATCTCCTCAAGCTTGCTCAGGGTGGATAACAATCTTACTCAGCATAAAGGTACCTATATATAACATATAATATGATTACTTATGAATAATAATTAATATTTTCTAAAATGTTCTAAATGCTTTGTTTCCACTGACCTTCATTGCACTATAGTAACAACAGCCATAACAATAAAAATTATAACGACCAGTTGAGGGCTTATTTGAAGCCAGACTTTCTTCTTATAGCCATTAACTCATTGAATTTGAGCCCAGGATTTGAGTTCAGGAGTCCAGGGTACTTTATGTACGATTATCTCCATGATGTATCATTGAGCAATGAAATTGTTAAATTTTGACCCTAAAACATTGAATTACTTTGGAAAGCAAAAACGCTTCTATTTCTAAATTTATAAAATAATGACATAAAGCATTTAAAAATGTGGACACTTTTAGACTGTTTTCATACATTATTTTCCTTTTTAGCTCACTCAAAGTTGAGAGCAAATAATAAGAAAGCCAGTGGTGTGATGGCAGTAAACAATTCTTTAAGGTAGTACTGAAAAATAGTGTTTTTTAAAAAGCACTTTATTTTACCTCACAATATCAGTAGCCATTCAACAACACTGTGATTTAGGTAAATTAAACTACTTGATGTTCTCCAACACATGACATTTAAAAAACCTGTCCCCTCTCCGTGAATTCCCTTCCCCTCGCCGGACTCTGTCCTCCGGGAAGCCTCTGCCCGATCCTTTAACTGACACTGTGACGGACTGTACACAGTGCCTGCCACCCAGTTTACTACATGAAGTATTTAAAAAATGACTCACTTCTTACCTTTGTATTAAGCAAATTACACAATGGTGGACAAAAGTAGGTTTACAGTTATAATACAAATAAATAATACAAAAATTAATAAATAATACAGTACAAGAATAAACTCACCTACTCACAGCTGTAAACCTGCATTTGCCAACCCCTGTATATACACTGAATAGACGTGAAAAAAGTACTGGTTCACTTCAATATTTATTCAGGAGTCCATTATAAACCTAAATTAATCAATTTTCAATAAAACAGTTGATTTCTGAGTCTCTGCTATTAACCAGGTCTGTGATCTTAAGCAATTAGCTTTTCCTTTTTCATCTCACTTTTCTCCTCTGCTGAGAGGAATAGACAAGAAAAACTGAAGTTCAATTATTTTTTCTTCCAAAGTAATTTGTATTTTATCCAACAAATATAGTACCTGCGGTACTGTTTTATGCATGGGGGTTGCACAAATGATCCAGACAGAAATTTCAAGCTTTGTGGACAGTTTAAGGACTAGGTGATCTCACTTATATGTGGAATCTAATGAACAAAATAAAGTGATGAACAAACTAGAAACAGGGGCGTGGATACGTGGAACGGACCCACAGCTGTCAGAGGGGAGGGGCACTGGATGAAAGAAGGTGAAGGGATTAGCCAAAGAGCTTATATGCACAACCCACAGACAGACCACAGTGTGGAGATGGCCAGAGGGAAGGGGGCCGGGGGCTAGGTGGAGGTGGGCGGAGCGGGGAGGGGACATCTGTGATAGTGTCAACAATTTAAAAAAGGTAACTCCCCTCCAAAAAAAGAACTAGGTGATATTTGTACCAAATTCTGCAAACACTTCCTGATGAAAATTAAACCCAGCAAACCAAAAAAAACTTTTGGCCTTGAGCTGAAAAAGCAGGAAAGCATCTATAAACATTTAATTCTAATTTGTTCATTATCAGAACCAAAGCATTTTAAAAATGATTATTTGGTAAATAAAATATTTTGTTAAAGTATAAAATTTTCTAGAAGATTATAACTCACCTTCATTCTTACAAGGAACCCTAATTTATGCCCTTAGATTTGCTTTGGATTGCATAAACTAGATCAATTACTAGTTGGGTAACTTTTGATAAATCTGTTTACTTATTTAATCTTCAGATTCTTTATTTGTAAAATGGAGGTATTGTTAGTGCTAGAGTTGGTCACGGCGC